AGTTTGGGCTTAGACCGACGATCAACGACGACGGCCGACGTGGTGGTTAGCGGAGTTTGGTGGCCGGCCGACGAAGCTTTTCTGCCTTCCTACATAGTCTTTCGTTGGTAAAAAGTAAAAGGAAATGAAATGTTAAATAAAGGAGAAATGCAGGGAGATTTTTGGCTTATAAATGGATATTTACTTATTAACCAAAACTACGTAGTTTTGGAAATAGTTTGGGAGCTTCATATGAATGCATTTTAGAGATTCTGACGGTGGAACACTACTCTTGGCAACGGGAAAATTACAAGGTAAGCCATCTAAGTTGTTAAACGTTTAACCTTGTCTCTTAGCTTTCATATTATCATGATTATGGTGTAATGGTTTTATTAAGATCGATTTAGTCCCTAATTTTATTAATTAAAAAAAATTATATTGATTCCTAAAGTTTTTAGTTTTAACAATTGGGTCCCCAAATCATTAATTAGATTCTAATAAGTTATTTTTATGGCGAGGAAAATTATTTGAAGTCGTATTTGTACGATAGATTGTCTGTGTTCGTTAGAAAAGATTGGAAGCTAGAAATCAAGTTGGTGAGCTGGAATTCAATAGTAAAATTTTGGGTTTTGTTGACGTCCTGAGTTCGTTTCGCTAAATTGGAACCCGGTAAGCTGTTTTTGACTGATTTATCACCCGATTTGATCCGTTTTTTGAAATTAAGTTCCGTTTTTGATGGAATTTATATTGTTATGTATCTGAGGAATTATTGAAAGATGATTTCAAGATCGAGGGCGTTCGAATGGAATTTAATGGTTGATCATTATGGCACGAAAATCGAGGTAATACATTACTACCTCTTTATGCTTTATAGAACATGTTGGTATTGGTAAATGCATAAATGGAAATGTTTGGTCTCATATGTGTAAGTAATGAAGTTCTACACTCGATACGAATGCGGTAGGAAGTAGGTAACTGAATATGGCTCAGATGACTATTATAAGAAATTGGAGGACACTTAGAATTAAATTACAAGTTCTGGAATTAAGTGATAAAAGGAATCAACCATGGATATGTAGATTATAATTTATCTCATTAAAGGTACTTAGATGATAAATTATGAGAATATTTCGATTAGGTAAAATTATGAAATTACTCTTATGTTGGAAAATGACAAGAATTGTCTCTGGAAGTGGATTAATAAATCTGAAAAAACATATTGATTTGATAAAACTATTGATGTGCATAAGAAATATTAGTTTTACTTGGAAATTATGGATAACCGGTTTTTTTTAACCCCAAGAGGGTTTATGCAAGATACTAGAAGTCTGTTGAGGAATCATTTCAAGATCAGAGAATGTTCGAGGAAGAAATTAACCATAGGATCTCTAAATTATAAGTATGTTCGTTAAGAGTTAATACCAAAGTTATCTGATTAAGAAATTATGAAAATGCCCTTGAGAGGTAAAAATAGTCCGAGTTGACCTGAATGAGAAAGTACTTTGAGGATTCGTACTTAACTTGATAAATTACGGATTTAGTTGTTAAGATCCTGTCTTTGTACAGAAAAATTCATGATATTATGTTTGTAAAATCTAAGAAGGCACTTGACCCGAAAATATCCGAGTTATGAGTAAATACCTGAAGAACAATTTATCGGAGGGTGCTCTTTTATCAGAATTGTTCGAAGGGACTGGAATAGATGATAAATTGGAATTAAATAATAAGACCGGATGGAGGGAAAAGATTGAAATACTGTAGATCTATAAAATGACCAAAATACCCCTGTAATGGAAATGGCCCAAGAATATCACCAAGCTCAGGAATGATTGGATATCTTCGAATTCTGAAATGAATGGAATAAGACTGAGCATCAAAATGACCAAAATACCCTTATGACCTAGAATAAGTAAATGTCTTGGATTAATTAAGTAATCCAAATAAGCATAGGTGTTGGACTACCTTTAAAAGTTATGGAACACAACTTAAGTGAGTTGATCAATCGTAATGATATGTCAGTACCTGGACGACATAGATATTACTTGAATGCGTGTTCGTCTTCTCAAGTGTGTCTTGATGATAGTTTTGGAAGTATTCAGCTAAACTAAACTCTAGATCGCATTCAATATTAAGAAGTGGATATTCATTAGACAAATCAACTACGACTACCAAATTGAATTGAACGAAAGTACAATATGTATCTGAAATTCAAAAATGTCTGAATTACTATAGAAAACCTTGAAGTAACTATAAAGAACTTGACTGCTAAATGAACCAAGTAACCTCAAGGACTGAGGATTAAGTAAGAGATTGGAATAAGTTTGGAAACTCGGATAAACTTATGTGATGTATCATCCCTATGGATTATGAACCACAAATCAAGTACGTCAGCATTTCCTGGTATAGTTGAAACATGGAAATGAAATCAAGACCATTAGGATATTTGTTCGTCTCCTTAAGATATGTTCAGTGGTGACTCAGAAAATGATCCATGGATAAGAATATTTGGTATTAAAGAGTGAATAACCTGGAAGGTTAATGAATTGACATGTTGATAAGTATTGGATTTGGAAGCTATTCATCTGGAGTTGTTCGATAATCGGATTAATCGTCATAGATTGTAAAGATTCTGAATACCCTTCAGATTTCGTAGAACTTCTGAAAATTACCCGAATAAGATGAACCCGATAAATCATATCCTGAATAACTGATGATTATGTCAGTTAATGAACTTTTCAAATAGTGATTCTAACTTTCGACATTCTATCGGTAAACTGAAGATTCGTGTTTTCTACCCGATAAGATTATCCAGTATCTCTGAATAATATCTGTAAACTCTGGTGTGTTCCCTAATCATATAAATATTTTATCTGATTTCCGACTTGAATTTTGTTCTAATACATTACCTGAATTCTGTTCTGATTTATGATCTGGATTCTGTTCTGATATCTGTTTTGATTTTTGATATCTCCGTTTAATGACGGACAAATGTTTTAATTGGGGGGTATTGTTGAAGGAAGTATTTCCGTAGGTTCCTCGGCTTTGTGCTCAGGGCCTTACAAGTTGTGTGAGTTGGGTGTATAGTTCTGGGGAACCTACACATTATGTTGTGTTGGGATAGGGGTATACATATATATGTTTTAAAAAGATCTGAAAAGTTACATGGTTTTTGGGAACACACTAGATAACCTATTCTGATCTCCTGAACTCAGTCATCCGAAATATTTCTCTGAACTGAAAGCTCATTGTCCGTTACCATCTGAATTAGGATCTCTGTTCAACATAAAAATCTGTAAATGCTCGGAAACAATAAGGAAATATATATTTATATGTATCTGCACGTTCATCAGCATCATCTGGTAGTTATGTATTACTGAGCTTTCCGAAGCTCACTCTATTACTCATCTTTTTAGGTTAAAAGAATCGTATCAGTGTAGTTATCGACTTCAGTAAAGGAATCCCTCCGGCGTTGGTTGCAGAGTATGGTACTTGTGATTAGGGGGTATGTAATTGTATTTTGGTTTATATATGAGTCTGAAAATCTGTTTTATTTATGCATACTGATAAATGATTTTATAAGGTACATGTTTTAAATAAAAGTTTTAAATTTTCCGTTATTTTTTACAGTGGGTTGCTCTGGTGGTCCTAATGTAACACTCCAGATCGGATCGGGTTACCCGCATCAGTCTGGGGTTACAATATTTACTCATATTTGATTAGAATATGAAATTGTTTTTTTTAATATAAGATTGTGCGAAATATAAACATAAACTAAGATCAATAAGTTAAAAAAAATCTTCAACAGAAAGTTTCCATTGAATCACCAGCAGAAATTAAAGAGCTGGCGGATTGAAAAAGGAAGAACAAAGAGAGCAGTACCTGAAACAACAATGATATTTTGAGGAACTGCAAGAACAAGATAAGGCTGAAGAGAGAGCGCAAAGATCAACAATCGCGGGTACTTGGAAGTTGATCGCTTTTGATTTCGAGCTTGTTTCCATCATCAATCTCCCTCCGAAAGAGAAAGAGCTTCGGGTATATTGCTCTCGGACTCATCTGTTTCATCAAAATCTAAGTCGGTTCCATGTTTTAATTCGTATAATACTTGGACATGAATGATCAGCAAATTTTTTCAAGGCACTTGTATCGGTTACCAAACTTGTAACAAGGCCACTAAAATTTTAATTCGCTTTTATTATCGTCAACCATCGTCAATACATTGATATGGTACTGTAGTAAACTCTAAATTTCTTAGACTAATTGGTAGTTATTGATTTCCTTTTGCCTAAGTCATACCCCATTTGACAATGACCATTAATTATCCTTCCTTCTATAGCCGCTGGTGTTCGAACTCGTGATCTCTAGAAACAACAATTTATTTAATTACTAGGTAAGTTGATTTGTGGAAAAAATGACTTTTAACGTATCAAATCAATATTTTTGAATATTTTTTAATAATAACAGACAACAATGAAACGAATTCAAAGCTCAATTGAGTTTTAAAAATTTATGACGTAGATGCAGACAGTCCATTTAAAATGAAGTTTACCCTGATATTTGTTATATATATACAGGTTTTAAGTGTTTTCCGTTCGTGATTCATGTCCATTCACTAGTGCCAGTCATTGTCAAAGTAGGAGATGATACTCAGCCCTGGGTCACGTTCCAATATAATTATGACTGTTATGGTTAGAAAGCGATTCACCGTTAGTATTAATTTTTTATGATTTATATTTTGGCAAGTTAGCTATCATATCTTATGTTTTATAAGAGCTACAACTGTTTAGTAAGAGGAGCCGAGATAAATTATTAACATTATGAAGGGCGAGAGTTAAATTTTGTAAATACTTTAAATTAAAGGAGATGAATACGAAAATTTTCAATTTATGATGAAAGATATTAATTCTTACATGATAAAATATTACCACCAACATGGAAATTGTGATCGTAGATTCATACCGAAACTCAAATATAAATATTCCAGGTCGGTTAAAACTACGAAATCGTAAAAGAAAAGTCATCACCAAGTAACCAAATGCAATACCACCAAAAGACAATAATATGCTAGAATAGAATGTGCCACAGTTTACAGCCTTCTTCCTCTTCTACCACCCTTTCTCCGGGTGCTGTCGGTGGGGATCGGAGTAACATCCTCTGAAAAAATAGAATAACGGTGTAAGGCTTCGACAATAATATGCTAAACATGGTTGTTTTTCAGCATTTTAACGTACTTTCAAGTAGTTGTTTATAAGAAAAGGCCTTACCAATACGGCCGATTTTCATTCCAGATCGAGCAAGTGCCCTGAGAGCGGACTGAGCACCAGGACCAGGGGTCTTGGTTTTGTTCCCTCCCGTAGCACGTAACTTGCTCTCCTTCTCTTACAGCAGGTCCAAGGGTCGAAGTCTCTTCCTTTGGCTCCCTAACCTTTCTCCTCGACTATAAAATCTTCAAAATGAAGAGTTTATGTGAAGTATAAATAGAAGTAAATCCACAAGGTCCGTATAAAGAAGCAAAACACCATTACTAGCCACGGTGACCATTTGGCAATAACATCTTAAATAGAATACACATACATACATACATGAATTGTCAAGTCAACATTTAGGCATTATTATACTCTACTAAATAGGACCATGATTTACAAACTATCATATATGAAATGCAAAATAATAGACTTGCGAACACCAATTGACAGCGAAATCAAGTGTTTGTTTCGATTAAATAAAAGCGATCACCACAAAGAATGGAATATCCACTAGCTGGTAGCTCCTCCCTTTTTCATTCTTTTTTTGAGGGATATCAAACTGATCGCGATAAGCTAAAAATTTACATAAAAAAAACGCCACAGTTCTCCCACTAGATCGCGATAAGCAAGTTCAAACGCATCGAAATGTATGTCCAAATCTTATTCAAATAGTTTCGAATATATCAAATAAATTCCAAAAAAAATACAACTAAAATATTAAATAATCTAACGGATTTTCTTACCATGGTTCGAAGATGGCAGAAGCTGCGAAGACTAGAGGCGTCGGTAGAGTGGAGAGAGTGAGCTTTCAAACGACGAAGAATACGAACAGTCGTTGAAGCTTCGCCATTTATACACAAACGGAAGGGGCTAGGGTTTTTGTATATGAAAAATTACCTATTTGATATTTTATTTATTTTTATTATTCAATTGTTTTTTAAACAAAATCATATTTAATGTTTTGTTTTTTTAAATTCGATCATTAATTTAATGAAAAAAATGATTTGAAATAATAGATTTTTCCCAGAATTTATATATTTTATCAAATCTATCTTACCTCTAAATAATTCAATAAATTTTTAGTATTTAAAATTTATCAAATTAAATTTTATTTTAATTTAAAATAATTTAATAATTCAAAAAATTTAATCATTAATAATATAATCTTATTAGATTAAAATTAAAAAAAATGAACAAATATATACTAGGAATTTGAATATTTTGAAAAAAAAAATCAATATAACATTTAAATTATTTTTGTGTTTAATGTGACCATCCGACTCATAAACAAATCAATGTGATCTTTTGATAAATTGTTTTTCATTCACCGACGATATCGTTAATTTTTTATGTCGCGGCACGTCAAGCAAGCCACATCCCTTCTTTTAATATTGATTTAGTGATGATTTAGTTGAAAATTAACAAATTAAAGAAAAGGATAAACAAAAATATGTGCATAAATTCATTTTTTTAGAAGATTTTTCTGACGATGTGATATTAGTTTAAGATTTGAGCTAAGGATTTTGAAAATGTTGATTGGCTCTTATAACTTAAATAATATTAAGTTGTTTACCACTTGAATCAAAACTCGTTTGTGGTGTTTATTTTTCAATTTACTTTTTAATTAGTTAATTTCCAATTCAACCATTAAAACTCAAGTCAACTTTGATTCAACATCAAATAAAGGAATATAATTTACTTGATGTGTCACGTCAATATAAATTAACAGAATCGCTGATCAATAACAAAAAATATAAATCATATAATTATATTAACTTTTTTTGAATGGAAGGATCACACAAAAATCGCATTAATTATTCTTAAACGTTTGAGATAACTTAAGAAACTAACATTTATCCATTAAATCAAACATAGTTAATAGTAATATGTTCACAAATATATTATTTACACAAAATAGTCAGATGTGGTGAAAACGACGCAGCATTTTACTGTAGAAGTTGATGGGAATATAAAGTTGGGTAAAGTATAGTAACGGTCACTAAACTTTTTTAAAGATTTCATTTAGGTCTCTCAACTTTTAAAACTTGCAATACAATCCTCCAACATTTAGTCCGTTTGCAATATGGTCCCCAACGTAACTAGCCGTTTGCAATATGGTCCCCTACGTAACTGGTCGTTTGACGCCGTTACATTACCGTTAGTACGTTTGTAATATGGTCACTGAACTTTTCAGGATTTCTCTGTGACCCATAGATTTCGCAGGATTTCTCTAGATATTAATGCGTGATTTGTTGTGTTGGCATGGATGATTTCATTTGCCTTTGTGTGTAACTTTATAGGGTAAAGTATAGTAATGGTCATTAAATTTTTCTAAACTTTTTATTTAGGTCCCCCAACTTTTAAAACTTGCAAAACAATCCTCAACATTTAGTCTGTTCACAAAACAGTCCCCCAACATTTAGTCCATTTACAATATGGTCCCCGACGTAACCGACCGTTTGACGCCGCTACACTTCCGTTAGTACATTTGCAATATGGTCACTAAACTTTTCAGACGCATGCATTTAGGTCCCCTAACTTTTAAAACTTGCAACACAGTCCTCAATTTCATTCTAAACCCTAAATTCCTTTTTGATCTCAAATTTCCTTTTTCGTTTCTCTCTTCTCATTTTCAACGTAACTTTTCGTCAGGGATGCATGGTAAATTCTTATTTAACTTTGAATTATGTGGAGGTGTTGACTTGAATAAGGGTTCATTGGGAGAATACCTAACTAAGGAACTATCGGGACCATCAACGATTCAAGGTGTAATGCTAGATACAGGTTATCTCAGATGAAGCATAGATGTTCGATGAAATGCTTGTGAGAAAAAAATGGGGTTATAAATACATAGTTGACAAATACTACTAAGATGAACTAAGTATCATTGTTGAAAGTCACCAACAAAGTTGGAATTATTTTGTATAAATGGCATATAATAATTTCTTCGTTTAATCCTTGTGGTTAAAGATTTTCCAACAGATGATCAAATATAATGAAATCTCAAACAACACATTTCACCTCTCAGTCTCTTTCGTAACTCGAAAGGCATCATGATAGGGTCAAGTAGCTGCTCCAAATATACTAACCTATCATGATGTCTTTCGAGTTGCGTGCATGTAGAATTGTCTTCTAAAGCTATAATTCAATACAATTCAACTGTAAAATTTCCAAAACATGTAAAAAAATCTAATTCGTTCACGATATATCAGTTCCATAATCAATATGAACTTATTAAAAAGAATATGAGCTCACAGGACGCTGAAAACCATAGGTCAGATCAATACGATTCCCAGTTAACTAGTATCAATAGTCTCTCGGATTGAGCTTGGTGATTTCACTATGTCGATACTCATAACCAATTCCCTGATTTAAAAAAAACAAACAAGAAAATCACTTCTATTCCCGATGTACTGAATATCTTTCATAAGGAGTACTAAAAGTTTTGATTAAGAAGAAAGAAAGAAAATTAGATGGTTTTGGTTCAAAACTAACACTGAATATCTAGATCATTGACATGCAGTTCCAGAAACATAAAAAATTCAACAAAAAACACACAATGCGAGCTGAAAATGGGAAAGTACGAAAGAGGAAAAGCCTACTTCCGGATAGCCCAAAAGAGAAAATAAATACCTTTTTGCAAGTGAGGGGAGAGGCTAAGAAATAAACGCAATCGGTGTTGTGTTCCAGTAATTCTTCCTCCATTTTTTCTGTGACGTAACCGTCTTTCGGTTGGGCCCCGGAATTGGGCTTCGACTTGAAAAATGTGAATTGGAGTTGCCACCGACCACTTTAAAACGAATTTAGGTGGGTCGGACACCATCTTACCTAATCTACGTTGTACCAAAAACGTGTCGAGTTCGGGAGTCGGTTACAATCAAGGAAGGATTAGCACCCTTGAACCGCCCTTTCGGTACCAATTAATTTACTGGTTGCCTTAGTTGCGAAAATTCGATATTAAAATTAAAATTTAACAGACTCTATTCAAATTACTTACAATTGATTGATTTGAAAGCGTACTCTTAGAAAAGTCAATAAACATGTTAGAAAAAAGGTAATAAAAACTAACAAAATAGAAAACTGATGAAATAGAGAAGATAAAATAAAACGAATAAAAGAAAGACAAAGAAAATAATAATAATAAATTAACGATAACAAGTAAATTAAATAAAAATAAAGAAACGAAATAAATAAATAAATAAAATAAAAGATATAAAAATAAATAAATAAAGTCCATAAAAGCAAATGAAATAAAAAAAACCACTAGAAAATAATGGTGAAAATAATATATACATAGTAAATAAATAAATGCAAGAGGGAAAAATATAAAATTAAATTAAATAAATAAAATATATATAAGATAAACGAAATGATAATATGTATATATATAAAATAAATAAAACCATAAAAAATAGTAAATATATATATAAAAATTAATAAAACAAATAATGAAAATTATCATATATATATGTAATCTAAAATATATATATATATACTAAAGTAAAAAAGAAAATGCATAAAATGTAAAAAAATATTACATAAAAAATAATAACAAAACAATTAAATAAAATGAGTAACAAGGGAAATGTGCGTATAAATAAAGTTAAATAAATAAAATAATAATAATTAAAAAGTAAATGTAAGGGACCGAATCAAAAGTACAAAAGATGCTACCTTTTATTTCCTTTTCGAATCGTTTACAATAGCTTTGCCTTTGTATTTTCTGTGCTTTTCTCTGTATTTTTTTATGTAAATCGTGTGTTACAAATGGGGAGGATTACATGTATTTATAGTGAAAAAAACTAACTATTTTTAGAATCCTATTAACAATAGAATCCTAATGAGACTAGACTCCTTGCTCGGTTGTTGCACGTTTGTTGGTGTGGTTGTTGCTTTAAAAGATATGGTGGTGGAAGAGTCCTCATAGGAGAGGAACTCTTGCTAGTTCTATCTTTTAAGAAAATGGGTGTCTACAGCTACCCCTCTTTGTCCTTTTTCGTGGAACGAAAAATAGGACAAAGATAAAAAGACACAAATTTTCGTTCAGTGGAGTTGAAGAATAACTCCCTGTCGAATTAAATTGGGGATGGATCATCCGTTGCGAAGTCGAGTCAATCTTGAAATGATTTGAATCAAAATATGGCTTCTCGTTGTAGTCCACTTTGGTCTTCTTCTCAAATAAAAGACCTTGTCTAAAAATTCGACTGGAAAGTAATCTTTTGACTCTATAATGTGGTTGATATGCCCTCGAGCTGAATGAAACCGAACTCGAAAAGTCTTCGTTGGCATATAGTTTTTCTCGACTTAAGCTATGCTGACGGAAAAATGCTTCTTATTACTAAAGCACGGCTAACCCAGATCTACTTCTCGGCTTGAAAACCTCGATTGCAGCCGGACAGTAGTGTGATTGAGGTGTCATCGACTTGAATGGAATCAAACTCGACAATTTTATTGGCAGATAACCATTCTTGCCTTGAGCTATGCTGTAAATGATGTGTCTTGAAGTTGAGCGTAGTCAAACTCGAAGGTCTTTGGTTGGCAGATAACCCTTCTAGCCTTGAGTTATGCTGTAAATGATGTGCCCTCAAAGCTGAATGTAATCGAACTTGAGGGTTTGGTGTTTCAAGAGAAACATCTTCAAAGGTGTTTTTTGTGTTTCAAGAGAAACAATTTCAAAGGTTTTTTTTGTGTTTCAAGAGAAATTGTATTCAAAGATTGAAGTTTCAAGGGAAACTGTCTCAAAACTTGTTTCAAGGGGAACTGATTTAAATATTTTGTGTTTCAAGGGAAACGTTTTCAAAGTTTATGCTTCAAGAGAAACTATCTCAAGGGAGACAAAATATGCTTCAAGAGAAACTGTCTCAAGGGAAACT